CATACTCCACCCCTTCTGATTTCCACAGCCATCATGTGCCCTGACAAAGGAACTTCGGCGCAGTTCAGCGACGTGGGGGAGAGGCATATCGTACTTTCGCTGCTTCCAGTTTACAGATTTAACTCTGGTGAAACCTGTGACTTTCTGTGAACCTGGAGCAAGTTTGTCGAGCAGGTGAAACCTGTCAACCTTGTATGCTCATGAAATAGCTCTCTAGGTGGTTTGATACGTCGGTGGGAAGCAGCAGGAGTGCGAAATGCCCCTTCCAAGTCAAACAGCGCCGATAATCCCTTCACTTGCTTTCCCTTCACAACATTTCATTTTCTTTTCTTAGAGAGCCACCCCACTAGGACTCACATCGGACAAATATCTATGGATTGGTACCCAGTCGGTCCGCAGTACTCAAACTTCTGTCACCGGCCATGTTCAGCCAGGCATGTTGTCCGTGAACTTCCATACAGGTGAGACATATTAACACATATTTCTCCCGGTTCATTTACCTTCGAGGACCTACTTTTCGGGATTCAGACTAGATCGTTGTCGGAATTGGTCCACGGGGGAATTTAGGTAGAAAACCTTCAGAACGTAGGATCGTGGAGGGGGAATCGTTACTGATTCCTACATGATCGATATTCCCCGCTCCACAGCCCGACGGCAAATTTTCGAAAAAGTTTGGCAGGATGATCGAATGGGATTGCGGAAGGGGTCGTACCGCAATAGAAATTTTGGGGGTTTTATCTAGCGAAAACTTTCCCTCAGCGACACTACCTGCTCTGATTATGGATCAAATCGATTCAGTACGATTTCCATGACGAAACAGGAGGTTTCAGTGTCCAATGCGATGTTTGCTCCACGTGACGATGTCCTACCACTGATCATCCAATTAGCACCGAAGGTGGGCTTGGCCAAAACTCTTTTTGCCGATTTTCTTGTGAAAAAACCTTCTCTACTTCAATTCCTCAAGCAGGCTTACCTCAACTAAATTAAATGGAACTTTTCCAGCTATTCGGAGCTGCGCTTCTTCTTTTACCACCGAATCAGTCGATATCGCTTCAATCAACGGCTTCTTGCAGAGATGAGGATGGACCACCCAGTTGGGACGATGGCGAGAGAATTTACGAGTATGGTCAATACACATTAAAACATTTTACGCGTTCCATTAATGTGTCCCACCATTCTGACCCTTTTTGAGACGTAGAAAACGCGATGTTCCCACAGTAGGTGTCTAAGGTTTGAAAGAAACGTACGGTGAAGAACGTACGGTGCCAAACCTGGGACCTGTGCCTGTCGTACCTCGAAAAAAGGAAGATCCCGGTGACTCTGGCCGCGAAAGAGTTCTATTTGATGATCAGCTAATTGCCTTCGCCTCCTGCGCTGAGGAGCGACATAGAGATTAAGCAGTTGCCCGTTGAAAGAGCTAATAAATGAGATGAATGCCGAGTCTCTTAAGTATCAATCTTAAGGTTAATGAAGATGGCGTTTGTGAAGGGCAATCCGTTCCACGTCGATGACGGTCACGACTCTTTCTTCTACACCTTCAACGAATATGGAAAACTGAAAAATTCTATGCTGCAGATATCAAATCTACACGGAAAATATTCAAAAGAGGGCGTCTTTACTGGACAACGTGAGGCGTAAGATATAGTCAGAACCAAGGTCACAAAGGAGAGGCTTTCACTGGGGATCCGTTTCTCATTGATCCGCGTTGAAAGCACTGCCTACGTTAGAGGCAGTTGTTACGATGTTACGATGCCTGGAGGTGGGCGGTGTCGCTGCCAGCGTTATTAGTGGATGGACTGAATGGGGTGTGACCAAACGCGCCTCGAGCCCTTACCAACAATGATGTTGGGCAGACCGTCTCTCCCATCTGGTCCATCGTGTGCACCTCTGCCTTTAGTTTTAACGGAGACAATGAATCACCCTTCTATTCAGCTCCTCCTCCTTCTTTGGGCTAGAACGACAGGCGTCTCGATCAGAAATGCTCTATGATCCCCGCCCATTTGATTATCACGGCATGCGTCTTCAACGAAAGAAAATGTAGATGTCTCTGTGACTCACTGACGATGAGTGCATTCTAGCAGCCACTTAATATTATAAAACCTTCAATGTCCAGGTGGGAATATTCACCAACAACGAACTTCGAATGGCCGATGTGGAATGGCCGGGCGACAAAGCGAATCCACCGCAAGGAACAGCCGACAAATTTCATGTCAAGGTAGGCCTCGTTTCAGCACGGCTTAACCTCTTATCTGAATCGAGACTCCTAGGTTGTTACCCTTCACGAACCGCCCTTCATCATAGTCTCTGATGTTGACCCGGATACAGGGCGCTGTCCAGGGAATCAAGGCAGTATCTGCGACTGGGGCGATGAAGAGATCGATGTTCCCGGAGAAGGAAAGAAGTGAGCGCCACAGATTGATGGCATTAGTCGCGCGATCTCAACTGTATTTCACTCAGGAACCGAACTCTGTGGAAATGCTGCTCTGGGTATTGCGTCGATTTGCTCAACAAGTTGGCCAACGACATCGGCTTCACCTATACTCTATACAAAGTGCGAGATGAAAAATGGGGTCTAAAAACGGTAAGTGAAACATAGACTGAACAGATGAGAGAGGACCAGGTAAGAAGGATCTGATCATACACTGGTTAGCTGGAAAAGTGCTAAAGGAACAATGAGCAACTGAGCCTGCAGATTCACTGTCAGAGCAGCAAAAACACAAAAACTTACGGATCCACTTTGGCAAAATATACCGTATATCATATGGTCCTGAAGGGAAAATGCGTGGCATGTTCTCGCCGATGCTCTGGTCCGAAACTAGAATTATCGCTTCGTAATTACTGCTTTTGTTATTTTGCACCATCAAAATTACTGTCTAAGCCGCTGTCGATTCAGGAAAGTGGCTGGAACGGTCTCATCGCTGATTTGATCAACAACAAGGCGGATATGTGCGTTACATCTCTGAAGCTGAATTCAGAACGTGCACGGGACATCGACTTCTCCTTACCATTTCTCGAAACGGGCATTGCCATCATTGTGAAAATCAGAAGCGGAGTGCTCTCACCAACAGCATTTCTCGGTCAGAAAAAAGCCTTCTCTCCTCAAAGGCAGTTGGCACGATAAATCCCTAAAGACGAGTGAGATCAATACGACTAGCATGACAGAATTCCGTGACCGTGAAAGGTGCTACGTAGCGCCTTTTCCAAGGAGGGTACCTTCGGCGCAACCTATCGGCAGCAAACTACCACCGGATCGCCCACCGCCCGCCCGCCTACATCGGGACGATAGCATCATCACGTTGCTACGATGTGTGTTGGTGACTTTAGAGCGAGTGAGTCTTGCTGCTTTTTGCCAGCAGTAAGGTTGCTCGTAGGACTTTCCAAGCGCGCGCCGAGCGTTGGCTCGTCCTGCCGCACGCGCCGAAGAATGAGCCCGATTTGCCCGTTTTGTTCACTATCTTTGCATTACTGGGCCCTTTGCTCTTTGCTGAAGTATCGTGCAACTTGCCTTTAAATGCGGTTTGGACATGTGGCTGGGGGTGGGCGGCTGTTGCAGCGTCATTGTTCGAGGTTGGATTTGGGTTGTGGCCAACACTCTCGCAGCGTTGGCCCAGTCCACCGCTTGCCCGCAACCGTCCGCCCACAGCCACCGTGCCCACTGCCTTCAAATAGCAAAGTTTAGTTCACCTTGAACCCTAGAACCTTCACAACAGCTTTCAGAACCCTTCGAATACTCGACATGGGTGATCATATTACTGGTCTCGATTCAAGGAGCTGCCCTTTCCATCTTTATTTTTGAATGGGTCAGCCCGTACTCATTCAACATGAGCAAGTATCCGCCTCCAGGTAAGTCCAGGGTAGCATGTTCCCACAGAAGGTTATCTATAATGAGTGTCTGTGCTAGCTTTTAACCGTCCTAGTCGCGCTTCTGTAACTTTGAAGAATCCTTTCAGATCACAAGTTCTCTCTTTGTCGATCGTACTGGCTAGTTTGGGCAACCCTTTTCAGTGCCAGTGTGTCCACAGGTTCGTTATCTCTATGGCTTTATTGAGTTTCCATACTACCACTCTTCGGTTTTCAGCGCGCCGTAAGTTACAGTCTCGTTCGCTGTGGAAGCTGGGGCATATCAGGGCGCTCGGTTAAAGCAGCACCAACCCATTTCACACCAAATGTTGTCACTTGCCTACTTCAACAATCCGTTGAAAACGGACAGGCGCCGCACCAAACTCAGCTCTCCGCCTGGAACGCCCCCGTCCGTAGCGAACACCACTATAATTCCCCACGGCTAACCTTCCCAACCAATGACCCGGTCCAATGGAGTAGACTGATGTCCAGAGACAATTCTCTCATCACTTCCAGCAAGTCCTTCGAGAAGACTTCGCCCGCTGAGAGGTGAAAAGATAGCTCTTCAGATATAGGACCTGTTAGATGACACCATAGGACTGGGGTACAATTTCCCAGCTCATGCTGTACCTCCTTCAGAAGATCCGCCATAATCTGGACGAGCCCACTACCACAAACAGACGGCTTTAAAAATCGCGCTTGAGAATACATTCCACGATGTTCGAATTAATAAAGAAATGGGCTGAGACACACACACACACGCACACACACACACACAC